GTACGGCTCTGGTTTTAGGGGTACAGTAGTCTGGAAAGGTTGAGAACTACTGCTCTAAGTTCCTTCAGAGATGTTTCCTCCTCAGACTTGATGCAGACTTGTCTATGGACAAACAGTAACTCTTCTGGCCAATTTGAGGTGAATTGGCCAAACTATTTCTGAGAAAAGGAAGTTGGAAAACTAGGTATAATTCAGACGTGGGGAAATTACTATAATGCTGTTTGCTATGTTTAACTTCCAAAATGATGAGCCTTATTCAGAAGATCTTGCAGAAATCGCTCTCTTCTGTGTTAGAATTGTCAGAATTCCCTATGAGGCTGCTTCTTAGGTCTGTCAGCCCATGTAATGCTTACATAGGGTCTGCGGGCTGTTGTAAAGATAGTCAAAATGCTGAGTGGTTTCTATTTTTTAAATATAATGGATCGAGTGCCCTTCCACAAGCCATATGAATGTAGTTCAGTGTTTTTCTAACTAAGAGAGTTTCTCATGAATAACCTCACCCTCTAAATAGTCAGTCATCCAGTAACTGTTTCTAATTATTTCATTCTGCACACCTCCTGGAAAAGTATCACTGGTATTCTGTGGAATGTCATTTGAGAACAAAATACTTCTGAATAGAGCTGGTTGGAAAAATTCCAGTGTAACACTTTTTTTCATCAGAATTTGCTGATTCATTTAAATTGAAAAATTTCATGGAGATGGTTCCACTTTGATTAAATTCCTTTGAAACCTAGGCAAGAAACATGCCTGGCTTTCTGCTAACTTGCTCACCCAGCTCCTTGGTTCCTGAGGTCCGTGCCTCTGGGGCAGCCCATCATGTAGACTTGCCTTGGAGATGGGGCTCCAGTCTCTTTCGCAGAGAAAGTATACGTTTTGTTCCAAAGGCGGGCGGGACTTCCACAAAATGGAATTATCTTTCTCCACCAAGCTCTACTTCTGAGTTCTGTTCCCACCTTCACTGACTTCCTTTAAAGTGTGATTCTACTCTGAAAAGTGTAAGCTTTCGTGGGCTACAACCCACTTATTCGGATGTATATAGAGTGAAACATATATTGAGGATATAGATAGATAGATAGATACACACACACATACAGAGAGCATGAACAGGTGGGAGTTGTCTTACCTACTCTGAGAGGCCAATTAAGTAAGACAACTCCCACCTGTTCATGCTCTCTGTATGTGTGTGTGTATGTGTGTGTGTGTGTGTGTATATATCCTCAATATATGTTTCACTCTATATACATCCGAATAAGTGGGTTGTAGCCCACGAAAGCTTACACTTTTCAGAGTAGAATCACACTTTAAAGGAAGTCAGTGAAGGTGGGAACAGAACTCAGAAGTAGAGCTTGGTGGAGAAAGATAATTCCATTTTGTGGAAGTCCCGCCCGCCTTTGGAACAAAACGTATACTTTCTCTGCGAAAGAGACTGGAGCCCCATCTCCAAGGCAAGTCTACATGATGGGCTGCCGCAGAGGCACGGACCTCAGGAACAAAGGAGCTGGGGGAGCAAGTTAGCAGAAAGCCAGGCATGTTTCTTGCCTAGGTTTCAAAGGAATTTAATCAAAGTGGAACCATCTCGATGAAATTTTTCAATATAAATGAATCAGCAAATTCTGATGAAAAAAAGAGTTATGGGGGAA